TAGGACGCCAGGCAGCACTTCGGGGCGTCTCTGGGCAGCTTGTCCAACGGCCGGGTCTCCATCACGAGTATGTCCGTCACTAACCTGAAGCTGGCCGTGTCCATAGCCATCCGCTTCTCAGCCACGCGGCGTCAGTTCGGGCCTACAGGCGAGGAGGAGGTGCCGGTCCTGGAGTACCCAATGCAGGTCGGCTCCCTGGTGTGCCCCACCCCCTTTCTCATGCATGCAGGTGTGCCCGCTGTTTCCAGTAGCTTCTGCGGGCATGCTCCGCCCCCTCTTAGGCATGCAGGTGTGCCTTTTGTTTCCGGTAGCTTCTGCGGGCATGCTCCGCCCCCTCTTAGGCATGCAGGTGTGCCTGTTGTTTCCGGTAGCTGCCGTTTGTTTGCTGATCAAACCTCTTCAGGCAATTAACAGCAGCATCGGGAGCTGTCAGGGCGGTGTGGGGCGTGGGGTGTCAGGCAGCAAGGCTGTCAGCAGACCATCTCTAACTGAGAGGCATCTACACAACTCCCCCAGTGAGGAGCTGGGAGTTGTTCCGGAGGACTCTGGGGAGAGAGGTGCGCACACCTGTTCCTTACCTGGGAAGGCTCTGCGGGCTTCGGCCAGTGGCCTTGCACGTCCAGGGCCGTATTCTGACTGTCCCAGCCCAAGAAATGGCCCCAGGGAAGTAGACAGCAGCGCTGATCACTGTGGTGTTTGTTGTTGAGAGCCGCAGAAGGGTCACTTGTCCTGCAGGTCCTCAGAAGTGGGATAGGCCAGGCCGCAACCCAGGAAAGGTGATTGTCACCTGGAGAGGGGGACATGCGTTTCATCACGGTGCCTGCTGCAGGTGCTCTGTGATGCCAGCCCCAGCACACCATGCTGTGCCCAGCTTACGGGTGGGGACTAAGTCAGGTAGGTGACCTTTATTGGGGAGCAGTAGGTAGAGCTACCGAGGTCGCAGGCCAGCTACACATGCGCAGAGGTGTATTTGAGTGAAAGGTTCAGTAAACTTAACAGAATCACAGTTGGTTCTTTTCACACTTCTTTTACTTTGCTGTGGACCCGTTTTAATAAACAAGAAAAAGCGAAGGGTCCCGCTTCGTGCCCGCGTGGCACGCATTGCCCGCCACGGCCCCCACCATGGCCTCTGCGCGGCCACCGTGCGTCCGGCTGCCTGGGCATCGGTGTGGCTCAGCAGTTAAGAGCTCGCTGAGTCACGGCGCTTGGGGTTCCCACCCCAAGTCCAGCCTGCCGGCCGTGTGCCCCTGGGCAAGCCGCGCTGCAGCTTGCGCATTGGCGAGTCGCAGCTGACAGTGACGGCTGTCACCGGACGGGCGTAAGGGTTAAGTGTGTGTAAGCGTCAGTATGTGAGGAGCAGCTGGGGTGGCATCAGGCACTCGGCAGCAGGAGCAGCAGGCGACGAGGGTGCTGGCGACGAGGGGGACCGGTTTTCAGGTTTTCGGCCTCCTCCCCGCTCCCCCCTTCCGTCCGTGCCCTGCGGGTGTGCACAGGTGGATGGACAGGCTCCCGCCTCTGAGAACGTCTGGCTCTCTGTGAGCCTCAGTTTCCCTGTCTGGCTTAGGGGTGAGTGCGAGTGCTTCATCCCTCACAGGCTCACAAAGCACCAGCTGCCAGCCGGTCAGTCCCACGCTCCGGCCGTGACAGGCACCCTCCCGAGTTCCCTGGTGGACCGATAGCCGGCCGGTCCTCATTCCACGAGGCAGCGCTGAGAGCCCGTGTGCAGGGACCTAGGCGGACACTGTGCCTTCGCGTGCAGCGGTCGGGGTCGGGACGGAGAACTGGTTTCCACGGGAGTGCAGGAGGCGTGTCGAACCGCCCACGCCAGGCGGGGGAGGCGGCGGCGACGTCCCATTGCTCCTGACCTGCCCCTCTGGTCCGCCCGCTGTCGCGAGGCCCGTCGGTCATCCGTGAGCACCCGGGCGTGTTCACGTGCATGTCCTGTTCACTTTAGCAATGGCGCCTCCTCCCGTACCTGGCAGCCGCTTTCGCCTTAGACCACTTTTCCAAATCGCTCTTCCTGGGCCTGGTGGAGCTGCAGCAAGGCCTTCTGGGGAACAGCCGGAGCGCCCGGCAGGTGAGAGGTGACGCGCGCGTCCCCGTGGCGTTATCATTCTGATCTCGCCGTGCTCCAGCAGCCCACGTCAGCCTTTCTCACGAAGCGACACCGGCCCGCGGGTTTGCGGCTTGGAGGCTCCCATGCCTCTGTCCGCTGCGTCCCCCCCTCCCCTCCCGGCCCCCCGAGCTCGCTGACATGGGTCCTGACTGCACGCCCAGTCCAGCTGGGAACGCGGCGGTCTGCACAGCCCACGTGACTGGCCCCTCAGTGGATTTCACGGTCCCGGCCCTTTCATAAACAACCCCACAGAGGTCTGAGTCCAGCTGACGGGATGTGAGTTGACAGTCAAGGATTTGTGCCGGAGACAGGCATGCGAGTCCACTGGGATCAGCCGCCTCGTAGAAAGAAGTCCTTTGCTAATTTCTTTGGACAGTGCACGAGGTGGCTTTCCGTAGCCCCTCACTGCCTCCTGCACAGGGGGAAGATGTGAACCTCAAGGAACGCATTTGAAAACCGGTTAGAAATGCCGCAGATTGGGGTCTGTGCAACACCCTGAAAGGCCTGTATCCCATCCGTACACGCTGGAATATTCAGCCCCAGCATCCAGGCGTCAGGAGGCCGGGGTGGTGCGGGGTGGTCAGCAGGGGGCACTGCCGAGCAGAACCGAGGTCTGCAGGAGCCCTTCTCCAGGGAGGCAGGGGGTTAAGCGAGTTTCTCCCGAGCATGAGTCACCAGTCCCCTTGCCAGCTGACACTGGGATTGTTCTCCCGTTAATAACGTTATAAAGGGCGATCACGTGTCACGCTTTCTGAACTGCGGTTTAACTCGTGCACCACGGGACCGCAGTCACCCTTGTTTGAAGGTGGCGACACTGGTAAAAAGCATCACTTGTCACTTGTTTAAGCAAGTGTGTGCGTGCGTGCGCGTGTGCGTGTGTGTGTGCGCGTGTGTGTGTGTCTTTCTCTGTGTGTGTGTGTGTGTGTGCGCGCGTGTGTGTGTGTCTTTCTCCAAACTGTTTTTATTAAATACCACATAGAAGCAAAAGGACATTATGAGACGTGGACGGCCCGGGGTCGCTGGCCGCGGTGGGGTGGGGTGGGGGTCGCTGGCCAGGGCAGTGGGGTGTGGGGCCCTTACAGAGTCGACCGTGAAGAGCCATCGCCTTCCCGTCTTCTGGGACCTGGTATCTTGGCTTAGACTGGAGCAGACGTGAGGCTTTGATGCTGGGCTTGCACTGACCCCTGACCTCTGGCGCGGGAGCCTCTTTTCACCCGTTCTTGGATTTCCTCTCCCAAGGCTGAGCTGGGGCGCGAGGTGCACGCCCTGGGGTCAGCCGGCAAGGCCCTGGCCTCGTGGACCGCCCAGCGGGGAATCCAGGAGTGCAGAGAGGCGTGCGGAGGACACGGCTACCTGGCCGGTAGGTTTGGGAGGAGCGTGTGGCGGTTTCCCGTCCTTACTCCTACCGTTTGACTTTGGGCCGGGGTCAGCAACTGGCCTGTGGGCCAGAGCCGGCTGCCGCTAGCTTTTGCGAACAGAGTATTGTTGGGGCATGGGGTGCCCGCTCGTTGGTGCCACGTTCCTGTGTCCACGTTTGCACTGTACCTGCAGAGGTGAGCAATCTTGACAGAGCCTGAAACGTTTACTGTCTGGCCCTTTCCAGAGCAAGGTTGGCAGCCCCTGCCCTGGTCAGATCCCTCTGCTTTCCGATGCCCGATGTTCGTCTAAGCATGGAGCTCTGGGGGTAACGCTGCAGCCCAGAGAAAATGTGAGGGCGCCCACTAAAACCAGAGCAGACAGGAGGTTATCTGCTCGTTTGAGTTGTGACTTCCTGGTTAATGACTCGGCAGTAAAGCGACACCAAATTGTACTCTGATGAAAAATTCTTAAACTTAGAAAAAAAAAAGACAAAGTTTTTATTGGCGTTGGCTCTCGTTTGGGCAGCTGGCCTGTGGGTTAGAGAGTGGGCGGCCGGGAGCCCGGGACACAGCCCCACTCTGCCGCTCCCCGGCTGCTACCTGACCTCGCTGTGCCTCATATCTCCTGTCTCTAAACCGGGGATGTCACGGTATGCCAAGGGGAGTCCTTGCAACGACTGAGCGAGTGAATACACGTACAGCCTGTAGCACAGCGTCGGGCATGGAGCGTGTGCCGGTGGCTTTTATTTGCTGTTGTTATTAGAATTGTGATTATTATAGTCATCGTAATTTGCAGCTTACCTGCCAGACTCCCTGTGCCCCAGCCTGAAATCATTGCTTGGCAAAGGCTAGTTACTTCGGGGGCCACACACACGTCCCACACAGAACGGCTGGACGCTTACCGACAGCTTGTATCTCCAGGGGCGTTTCAGGCTCTTGCCGAGTGCGAGCGTTTGGTGATGGCCTTTGGGTCAGCGCGGCTCTGTCCCAGCTCCTGCCCGTGCACAGTGGCCAGCGGTGTGGCCCTCGGCAGCCCCGCACTCGCCCCTCCCTGTTAACCGATCTGTGGGCGACACAGACGCCAGTTACTCATCGATGTGTTTCGTGCTCCGGACAATGCTCTTTGTAGTTTTTGTTGGTTGTTACAACTCACGGAGATGCTACACATAGTTTAGAGTAAGGAATCGAATCCTGCAGCACCGCAGACAACAGAAACGCCTGAATCGAGTGTCACGCCGGGCTCAAACCAGTGAGACTGAACTCCGCGGGGAGAAACGCAACGCCTTTATCTAGGCTTAAACGTCACCTGCAAGTTATTCCTCGAAGGCCTCTCCCAGCTCCTCACAGGCAGTGGTCTGACCGTGGCATGGGACAGCGGGTCGGGACACCGATCAGGGTATTGCCGGTGACCACAGGCCTGGCAGGATGTGAGCCCGAGAAGCCGGGGTCCCTGCTGCCTCCTCCTATCACAGCCTAAGCTTGGGAGAACATTCTCCAAGGAAGGAGACCCAGATGCTGAGGGTCTGGAGAGCTCCCCTTGAATTCTGCAAGGGAATTGGGCTCCTCCGTGGCGGGAGAGACAGCAGAAAAAAGGTGGGAGTTGCCTTCAGAGATTTGAAATTTCTTGTGTGAAAAGAAGGGTTCGTTCAGGCGTAGGAGGAGGAGCAGCCCCCGAAGTCCGCGCCTGGGCCTCTGTCACCAGCCCCCAGGCTGCAGGGAGTCTGCCAGGCGACCTCGGGAGGACGGGATGCTGACGAATAGATGTCTTGAGCGCTCACTGCTCAGGAGCAGTGCTGAGCATTTCACAGGGAGCAGCCTGGTCCCCTCCCAATGCCCTTGCTGGGTGGTCAGCAGGTCCGAGAGGCGGGGCCCCTGCTTCAGAGCGGTTACGGGCCTCAGCCCGCCAGGAGGGGCAGGCGCAGCGGGGAAGTTCACGCTGGCCCAGGATCAGATTCACAAGTAGAGACATATTTCTCACGTATGCACCTAAGTAATGGAAACGGCTTCGTTGCAGTGAACCGCCTGGGCAACCTCAGAGATGACAACGACCCCAACTGCACGTACGAAGGGGACAACAATGTCCTGCTGCAGCAGACCAGCAACTACCTGCTCGGCCTGGCAGGTGGGGGGCCAGGTGAGCGGCTGCCTGCTCGGCCTGGCAGGTGGGGGGCCAGGTGAGCGGCTGCCTGCTCGGCCTGGCAGGTGGGGGGCCAGGTGAGTGGCTGCCTGCTCGGCCTGCTGGCTCTTGTAGGTAACCCCAGAACTCATACCGGGTATGGGGTCTCAGGCCCCCAGAGTCATCTCTTCTCTCCAGATGGACCCTGTGTTTGCAGGAAGTGTCATTACATAGCACTTGACCCACTTCTGAAGTGGCCGCTGAGGCAGGTTGGGGGCGGGGCCCTCCCTGGGCCGTGCTCTGGGTCCGGCTCCCCCCAGTGACCGCTGTGCTCCCAGGTGGTGCTCGCGTCCAGAGCCCTCTGAGGAGCGTGGACTTCCTGGACGCCTACCCCGCCCTCCTTGGCCGGAAGTTCACGGTCACCAGCCTCCAGGACTGCCTGGACGACTCAGGTAAATGCCCCTGACCCGTCCGCCCTGTGGTGACCAGCGGGGGCACCGTGCTGTGGGGGCCGTGGCGGTAGGCGGCAGTGGCTGGCAGAGACCGTGGACGTCGGTGTGCCCTCCACTCACTGGTCGATGCGTCCACTCAGCATCTCCCCGTGGGGACGCGAGCTGGGCACTGGCTTCCAGGGTGAGGCGGGGAGCCCGCCGTCCTGAGGGTGAGGTGGGCCTGCTGCCCCACACGGGCCCTCGGCACGGGGCGCCGGGCAGTGCTGCTGTGATGCCGTTCACGCTGCAGGTGTGTGTGGGCCTCATCCGCCCCTTCCTCGGCCCAGAGGCGATAGACGCAGGTCCCACTCTCTCGGCCTCACGGGCTCAGAGGCCCGATCAGAGGCCATCTTGGGGAGCAGCCTTGGAGCTGAGGCATCAGTGGGAGGAGCGGACTGGCTGTGGGGGCCATGGGGGGCCACTGGGTGGTTCTGAGCAGCCGACAGGCTGAGTTCGTGTCGTCGCGGTGATGACTCTCGTTAATGCTGCTGTGGAAGCCAGCTGCAGAGGG